CTCAGGCAGGAGGTAGTGGGACACGCCCACACAGGCACCCTCAGGAGAGAGAGAGGCCCTGCTAGGGCCGTAACAGTCCGCATGTTGCAAAGACGTTAACATGTCATTGTAATAACCAAGAGTATCAATAAAGTTCCGACTGAAAGGTTTGACCTCCTCCGGTCCTGCATCACTACTTTACTGACTAAAGAGCTCAAAGAAAGTGAATCAGTGTTTTTGTAGCCTGTGGTAGGATGTAGCTTACTTCACATGTATCCTGGTGCTGAACAGGACAGCTCACACCTGGACTCAGACTTGCATGAAGAAGCAACAGCTGTTGTGTCGGTAACTTGATTTGCTGTTTTCCATTGGATATAAAATCTCCCCTGGTGTGGAGGAAACGCCACAAACGTGTTGTCCACCTGCTTCCTGCTGTCAGACACTATGCTGCTGTGACACAGGTGGTGTTCAGATCTACGTCTGCCATGGTTTACATCTTTATCCAGATGAGCTGTGAGATGTGGGACTTTGACATCTACGGTAAGATGATTTGATGTTTCTGTTTTTAAGGCGAGCTTTTCATGCCGTGTCTAATCCAGCCGTTTCTCTTAGGCGACCTCTACTTTGAAAAGGCTGTCAATGGTTTCCTGTCTGACCTTTTCACTAAGTGGAAGGTTTGTGCTTCTCTTCCTTCGCCCTGTTTCTATCAGCACGCTGCTGTTTCCTCTCAGTCACCATACGAATGATTCTCACGCTCCTCGCATGTTTAATCCCAAACCAGGAGAAGAACTGCAGCCACGAGGTGACGGTGGTACTGTTCTCACGCACGTTCTACAACGCCAAAACATTAGGTCAGTGTGAGCTGAGACACATGTTTGGTCAGCCTTGTTGCACTGCTGGTTTGCAAACAGGAGGTTTCTCTTTTTGCCCGACTGTGAGTAAAGTAACTGCTCACGCAGGCTGGTGTGGAGGGGGCCCTCGTTCTCTTGTTTGGTTTTGTGTGTAAGCGTGACAACAACATTTAGCTTTAACGTGTGATGTGTGTTTGCTGGTAGATAAACGCGATATCTTATCTTGTTCAGAGGAATTTCCAGAGATTCTTAGAGGCTCCATCAGAGAAGACCACGAGGGACGCTTCTATGAAGACTTCTACAGGTAAGCATCCCAACACCTGTGGATACCAGCGACAGAGCGGCCTGTGAGTCTGATTCTACTCGTCAGGGTCGTAGCTCAGAACGAGAGACGGGATGAGTGGACGTCGATGTTGGTCACTATCAAGAAGCTCTTCATCCAATATCCAGTGCTGGTGCGACTGAAGGAAGCAGGTAGTGATCCGTGTCCTTCGCCGACTCGTAGATCTTTGCATTCGTTCCCGTCCACAGTCTGACCCGTGTGCTCGCTCACATTCGTCACAGATGCTTTTCCTGTCGGTTACAACGCCACCGCTGCCCAAGGCAACTACCTAGAAGCCATTAACCTGTCGTTCAATGGTAGGTGCTGCTGCAGCTTTCCTTAAATCTCTTACACATTTTGTTGTCGTTTAAAGGCCCTGTGCAGGATTTTGGTGAAACTAGTGAGTCCTCACACAGAGACAGTCAGTGTGGATTATCATTAAGTCACAGCGTCCACCACAAACTGGTCTGCAGCCATCTTGGAACCAGCAGCAGGGCCATCTGCTGTGATTGGTTGG